CCCCCCCCCCCCATCTTTTTCTTTCCCGCCATGGCCGCGCCGCTGCTACCCATGCTTACCACGAACGGAAGGCTATCTCGGCCGTCGTCTACCCATTCCTTGCCGCCAGAGCCTGACAGCCCGGACCCCGATCCGGAAGAAGAGTCATCCCCAGAGCTGGCGGACATCCACGGCCGATCGCCGCTGCTGTCTCCCTGTCTCACTGAAGAAGCCCACGCTGTCTTGCCCGGGAGGAGGAACACCGGTGATTACAAAGCGAGGCCCAGGCGGACCAAAACAAAATCGAAAAAATCAGGGGGGGAGGGGGGTGCATCACCGTTAAACGAATCGCAGCAAATGGCGGTTATCCTTTCCGATAGCCCACAACGCTTGAGATGAAGGTGGTCGGTCTCAGGCAGGCGCCACCGGCGGGGTGCTCGTTCACGCTCGCACACGTTCTGTGGAAAAATGTGGGAAGGAGGCACCAGCCACTGCGAGGCTTCGCTGTGCGCTACAACCCAACACTGGTCCTGACCTGTCTTTTCCTTACAATGAAACCAGCTATTACGGTAGGGCTAGTAACAGGAGGTTCCCGGGGGGGGTCTGAAGCAGAACGAAACGAAAAGGCCTGACATCTACCGGTGTAATCAGCAGTTGCGCGTGCCCCGCGCGAAAAACAAGTTGCAGAACTCCAGCATGCCAGAAGTACGAGAATCGGCATGTGATACCATGTTGGCACTGGCAGCGATGGGTTGATTACCAGGTTGTGAATGAAGGCTGTGATGTGCATTTGGGTACAAGGGGCATGTATTGACGCAACTAAACAAGGATTCGCCCGCCGATCACCCTGGTGGTTGCCAGGTTTCGCAAATTTGGCGTGAGGTCGAATCGTGCAGACACATTCACACGAAATAGATACCACCAGAGTTCTTTCTGATTGACACCTATCTAGCAAATGTGGAGAACAATTATTTCTTTGGCACACGAATTCCAGTCCGCGGTCGGCCAGGGAAAGGGACGGCGTTATTTAGTTCATTCTCGGGGGAGAAATGGGGAAAGCGCCACAGAAGCAAAACGGACGGAAATAATTGAACTCCTGGGTTTCCTTCGTCTTGCAGGATACCGAAGGGTGCAAACATACCGTGAACAACAGGCGAAACTGCACACAAAACATGAGGCTTCACAGAAGAACGCCCGTGGAACACCATCCAGGTCTTCCCTTCAGACCATACGGGATTTTTGGTCAAGGCAATCCAAAAACAGGTTGAGTATTAATAGCAGCCTTTGTTCGGCGCTACAGTAATAGCACGGCTCACAGGCCACCCAACCCAGGTGCGAGCACCCACCCCCACAGAAAACGCACGAAAGGAGCGGTGCCATTCATCTTCCTAGTCAAATCAATTTGCTGGTACAAGTACTGAACGCCAGAGACAACGCCAAAATTACTCCGCGACTCCTGTGCGACCCCGGCTGAGACGTCCACTTCCAGCAGTACACACCGCAAGGTGTCCATCGAATGGCGCCAGAACAGATGAAAACACACACATAATCCTGCCCGATAGTATGGAGTCTTCTCGTCGTACTTCAGAAGAAGAACACTACTGTCGTCCAATTCCTGCACCCCTCATGTCGGTAGAACCCCTCCGTTCCCGTTTTTTATCCCTCTGATGTGGTAGTTGGAGGGAGACTTGTGAGCGTGCTTGACCATGGGTACTTGGCGTCGTCACATGGCGTCGGCACATGCTATGACGTGACGTCATGCAAGATTTGGGTTGTATGCCGAGGCGTGTGCCCTTTTGTTCAGTGTGCGTACGATCCGGTGAGAGTGCGAGAGTTGGCTCGGGAAAGCGTTAATACACAGTTTCGGACTGGGGCTCCACATTTTCCGGTTTGGAAGCAGATTTTGAGATACGAAAGTTTCCTGGAAACTTCGTGCAGGTGCAAATTTTCAGATTGAAGCGGCTTCATGTGATTGCCTGTGGGGCAACAGTCCTCCCACGAACTTCCCCTGTCCGCAGGTGCTATTGTTTTTTCGTGGTGCGCTGCGTGACAGCCAGCTGTGCACCTTGCTTGATGACAACGGGCTCTCTCTCACTGCTGCTGCTGTTGAGTGTGCGTGCGTGCGTGCGTGCGCGGGTCCGTGTCTGCGTCGCTCCCTCAACCCCAGCACACGAAATCGCACCACAACAGTACGGAGGCAGGAAGTGATTACTGTACACTGGCCGACGATAGCCTCTGAACTAAGTGCTATGTCGCGTTTTAAGCGTTCGGGAGAGACGGGGGGTTTGGGTCCGGGAGGCACATCCGAGTCAAACGCTCTTCTTCTAGTAGACACCAGAGAAAATACTCTTGCGCGCGGAAGGACGCGCCCGCCTTCACCAGGAGGCCACTACGTGCTCTTCCTCCTCTCGGCTCTTCTTTGCTGGTGGCGTTGCCACCACCTCTAGGTTCGTGCGCTCTTCCTCCCCCTTGCCTCAATCTGACGGGCGTGTTACTGACCTCAAGCCAGCCGGAAACAAACCCAACTTTCTGACCGTTCAGCCTCCCTGTTTTTGTGTTGGTGGCGCGCCAACTCGAAGGCCTTTCGCTGGGCGCTGGCCTTCTCTTTGGCCGCGCTGACATGTTCTCAGCAGACTGCTGTGTGTGCGTGCGGTGGTGCGTGTGATGTGTTACTTCGAAGAAAGTTGCTAAATCGAAAAATCGTGAAAATTTTTCCACAAACCAAGCCTCCCTCGGCTCTTAAATCTGTAATTTTTTCCTTGTTGTGGGTTTTGGCGAGACTGTCAAGAGCGATCCTCAGAACGACGGCTTAACTCAAAATATAAATATACTTCCTTATTTCGGATTTTTTTGAGTCCGAAACTGTCAAATCAAGAGAAAGAGAAGCCACAACAACAACCTGCACCTGTGGTCAGAGAACAGAATTCGATACAGCATACAGATAGCGCCCGCACTTAAGAACTTAGCAGTTAAGAAGTTGAGACTCGCAAAAAATCCGAAGCTAAGAACTCGGGCACCATTTGTGAGCTCGGTTAAGAACCCTACACTAAAACCTATATTACGGCCATTTGTAGCCCACAAGGGGATGATCAGCAAAATAAGAACCCCAGCCTCGCCCGAAACTATAGAGGTTCTTAAGCGGGCGCCATCTGTAAATAAATGTGAGTGATTCCGGGTCAAATCCCAATATACTCAGCCGGTTAGCGCGGTCGATGCCATGAAATTAAAAAATACACATCCGTGCGATAACCTACACTTCATGAGCCTCGTTATCTTCGTGATCAGTACAACAGCCAATACTGCTGTACCTGGTCAACACCATAGAGCATGCACTCTGGAATTTTTGATGCCTACACCCGTAGGTCGCATTAGATAACACACCGCTGGGCCGATGTTCAAATCTCGATTACTCGGCAGCAAAAACCATACCAAGTATTCTCAAACCTGTGACGGTGCTGCATATTGCGGCGCTGAAACCGCCTCGTCGAGAGCTAACGAAAAATCAAAGCCCATCGTTTGACTGCTGTGGCATCCTCGTCGTGGAGAAATTGAGCTTCACGAAATAGGTCCAGGGATGTGTGGTGTCGTGCGATTTCGATAGTGTCGCATGGCACGCATGCCAAGCTCGTTGCTGGGTGCTTGAACATAGTTCGAGGTCCACAACAACACCTGTTGTCTGTGGCTACTTCATTCCAACTAGCTCTGGTGTGTTGTGTGCCACCTCATCACCAGTGAGGGGTTATGTCGACTGACCTGGTCTTGGACGTTTGTAGCGAAACCTTCCTGGGTGGACTCCAACATGATGCCACCCGCTTGCTGCCATCGGTAGCACCAGAAAAAGCAAGAAGGAGAGCGCCATGTTACCGAGCAAGCCGCTGATACAACAACAACGCAAGTCAGAAGTACATCACCTTCAATAGGACATGCATGTGTTCAAGCGTGTTGAGCGTTCAAGCTGGGGGGACGCGAATTTCATTTAGTATATACTATTTGCTTTGTTCACATTGCCGTCCCCCCCAGTCGGAGAGAGGTCAAGCAGCAAGGTCTTCACTGCTGTTCACTTGCCCAGAGGTACGTTGTTGTTGGTGAAATGTGTGACCGCAAGCGTCCCTCACCATACGCATCTACCCCGAGCGCGAGTTTGGACCATGATTGGGAGAAATGTATTCGGCGCCACGCAGGTAGCAGTGAACGGAGGGGTTTGAATCACACCGCTGTATCTGGAGCAAGCGGTATCAAGATCGCATGCATGCATATAGTCTAGTCTAGACTAGTAATCTAAATAAATTAGGATGGTGCATTTTGATCTTTTCAGCGCTCTCCTCAGGGGAAATGGAGTGCCGGGTGGAAAGATTGAGGTGGCCGCACGCTGCTTGATATACTGCCACTCTAGGTGGACATGAACCTACCTCCCTCTTGCCAGAGTATGTACACGCGGGGGTGACGAGCGCTGGTGATGAGAGCTCAGTGCCGACCGAGTGACGAGCCAAGCATGTAGTAGACTATGTCGGAGAGCAGCACGTGAGGCCTGGGCGAGACAGCGGCGCCAACTTGTCCGGATTGTGGCTGTGTACATAGGACGCCGACGGGTATGTTTTGAGACTTCTGTAGTACATCATCAGTGTTCACAACAAGGCGGCGCATTTCGACGTTCACTGGGGTGGTGGGGAAGAAGGAGACGAGGAGAGCTGGGCGAACCACGAAGTTTGCAGCAGCAGTGTTCGGGACTCCTTGTTGTGGAACCAAGTCAGGTGGGAAATATGGGGTGGGACAAGCCGCGGAAAGAGTCGATGTGCCGCAAATCCACTTACACGACCGAGCACATGTACAGGGAGTGCCTCATGGCGAGGCGGTTTGACCTTCGTAGCCGCATACGCACCGGCAGAGCGGTCAGCGAGGAGGCAAAGAGTTCTGGGAGGAGCTCGACACTCTCATGTGTGTATGTGATGATGGATGCTACCTCTCGGGGCTTAAAGCAGAGGAAGACAACCTGGAGGATGGGGTTCTTGGCCCTGGTGGACGTGGTGCACTGGACGATAACGGCAAACTACTGCTGAACTTCTCGATAGGTAACAAACTCGCCATCACGAACTCCTTGTTCAGAACACGCAAAGGAGGATACCGCCTACTTCACGCAAGGGTGAGCGACCTCAAGCGTAGACTATATCCTTTTTACGAGGCAGGCACACCAAGGTAGAGTACGCAACGTGGTCGTACACACGCCCAACATACACCCCCCCAACATACACAGCAGTCAAACCGGGCTCCGATCACAACATGGTGGTGGCTACGGATCGCCAACAAACGCGCCGTGCAGGTCAAGCTGATCCGAAGACAGTTCAGTCAGTCGCGAAGCGCTGCAGGAAATAATGCCGAGGTTGAGGTGACCAATCAGTTCCTTCAAAAACTTGGCCAACTAGCAGACCAGTCGAACATGACGGCCCCGGAAGCCGCAAGGGAGTTCACCCTACTGTAGCCATCCTTGAAGCAGCGCAGTCAGTGGTGCCGGCAGAGACTCTGACATCATCTATCCCGGAGTGGTGTGAGAGCGCGGAAACGAGAGCAGCAGTCAAGATAGCTCTTGCCGAGCAGCGGAGGGCGGCACGCTAGGAGATGAAACTGATCGGATCTCAGTAGCATGGAGAACACGCAGGACCGCGTGCATGGGTGCAGCAGCCGACGACGGCATTTATGCCCACTTGGAGAAGTATTTGACAAAGGGGTGGAATTGATCTTCACGGAATACATGACATGCGGGGATTGTACAATCACCTCAAGAGCTCGGTAGGTTTTGACGAGAGGCAGGCCGGGGGACAACAGTTCGTTGAAGAGTAGAATGGCTTCCTGCTGAGGAAGAAGGGAGAGATTCTCCAACGGTGGGCGAGGTTCTGTGGCTCTCTCCTCAACGCTCAATCTCTCACATGGAACCCATCGATCGACGAGGAGGAAAAGCAGCGAGACCGACGGCACCGGCTGCCGGAGATCCGGTAAACCTGTGTGCCAGCACTGGAGGAGACTCGAATGGCAGCATGGGGGATGGACAACTCCAAGGCGCCGAGTCGTTCTTCACTGCCGGTAGAGCTACTCAATATCGACAGCCCAGACGAGCCCAGATCGCTATCGAACACTTCCACGCCATCCGCTTCGACGTGTGGAAAACGGGGGGGGGGTCCCACAGGAATGGAAATATGCCACCATCAAGGTTTCTACAAGACGTCGCGCCAACCCAACTGTAGCAACTACAGGGAATCAAAATCCCTTCTCTCGCAGACACAATGCTCCGAAGATCATCGCTAACCGTCTCAGTTGCTATTGCCAAGAACCCGACATCACCCACAGGAGCAGTGCGGCTTCCGACCTGGTAGATCCACCGCCGACGTGCTGTTCGTCGTACGCCGACTCCAGGAGCTGGGGTGGGGGCGGAGGATTCCACTGTGCATGTGCTTCCTAGACCCTGGAATGGCTACTACTCGGTTGGCCGAGAAGTGCTGTGGCAGGCATTAGCTCCAGCAGGGATCCCGGACGAATGATCACAGTAGTAATCGGCCATTTCACGATGGCAAGCATGCCCGGGTGCGTATGGACAACGAGGGGCTCTCTGGCTGGAAGACAGCGACTCTCTTGATGTGGGCACCGGAGAAAAAGCCGAACATGGGAGCGCCAACTCCACTAGCTCAGGCGTCACTGGTGATCAAAGCAGCAGGACATACGTTTGCCCAGACAGCCGAGTTCCAATACCTGGGTGGCCAGGTCAGAGAAGACGGTGACCTCACGCTGGGGTTCAATCAACGGAGAAGAGCAGCATGCAGGTATCCCTGAAAGTACGCCCGGGGGCTCTTCGACAGGCATACAGAACCGCGGAGATAAAAGGTTCAGCTCCTGAAAACGGAGACGATGGAGGCCCTGCTAGACGGATGCATGACATGGGCCCTCGCCGGGACCACGTCGACGTGCTGACGAGTACACAACACCGGCTTCTGCTTCGGGTTATCGGGTACCGCCGCACGCGCGGAAAAGATCCGAAGGCTCTCGCCCAGACCCTTCAAAAAGTCGGATGCCAAAGCGTGGAAACCACCGTCCGGCTACGGCGGCTACTGGTTGCGCTGGAGCATTGGCCAGACAACCGGAAAGGCGACTCTCCAAGTGAGAAATGTTCGGCGACATCGTCGGGGGGGCTGGCTCGGGTAGGGGGTGCCCGGAATAGCATTGGGCGACAATCTTGAAGGACTACTTCAAAGTGTTCGATGCCACCGCTGAACCCACCGATGTCGACAAGGAAACGATTGGGTCACTAAGTTGTTAAGGCAACACCAACAACAACAACTCAGCGGCATACAACCGTAGCAGTCGCAGATCCCTTCTTCCAGCCTCACAGTGCGGATTGACCCTGACGCCGTGAAACGGCGCTGGAGATACCTATTGACTTCGCCCGGTTGAAGGGACATGAAAAGAAAGCTAAAGCGCGCTATGCTATGTGCCGGCCAAAAGGAGGCAGTGTGCTGAATAATAGTGTGGTGCCTGCAATGGAGAGGGATTTCGGCGACATGCGGTGAAAGCGGCGATCGCGGAGATTTTACCCAGAGGGCGTATGCGAACAGCCTGTAAGACAAGAAGCAATAACAGTGGACGCAGGGGGGAAGACAAAGGGATGACGGAGGGGTCCGGGCGTGGCGATTTTTGGCCAGGGCTTGAGGTGGAGGGCATACTGGGCAAGGTCCGCGACGAACTTGTTGAAGGCGGAGCCGCGCATGGGGAGGGGAAGGATTGCGGGTAGTGGTGCCGAGGCGTTCGGGGCTTCGGGTTGGGTATGTGTCTCTCATCGTGATGGGATTCTGTGATTATGGACAACGACCGAGCACCTTCTTCGACCTTTGATGATCACCCTCTCTTCGTGTACGATTGGTGTTACAAAAATAAGAGTACCATACTATTATTTGTGGAAGAGCAGTGGCCAAAATCGGGCACACCCGGTCCAAACACGGCCATAATCGGGTACCCCTACAAGATGCTGCTGGAAGCGACCGCATGACACCGTCTGATTGGCCGACGCCCGCCCCTACCCGACCTTGACCATCCTTTCACCGGGTGCACCCGATCTTGGCTACCCACCCCCCGCAGAATTACCCGGTCTTTCTTTCCCCTACCCGAAAATGGCGGGGCTGTTCGGCAAAAACCCACATACACACAATCACGGGTAGGACGCACACCGCTGGCTGCTCGTTTGTCACCAATGAGAAAGCAGCAGGACGCAGAGGATATGTCTATTTTTTAGATGCGTCTCGTGTGCATCGCATCTCGTGAGTGAGGCATTTATCCACAGCTCTTCTCGATCATTTGCACCGACCGCCTGCCTGATGCCGTTTCCCCCAAGCGAGAGCTCCACCGCCAGCGGTGGGTCCGCCCCCGCCTGCCGTCAGAACGTCCGAATTCGAGGGCAAGGCATTGCTGACGTGTTCTTGTGTGCATGGGGTTTGGCCGAACAGCCCAGCCATTTTCGGGTAGGGGAAAGCAAACCGGGTACCCCTCCGGGGGGCGAGGATCCAAGATCGGGTGCACCCGGTGGAAAGATGGTCAAGGTCGGGTAGGGGTGGGCGTCGGCCAATCAGACGGTGTCATGCGGTCGTTTCCAGCAGCGTCTTGTAGGGGTACCCGATTATAGCCATGTTTGAACCGGGTGTACCCGATTTTGGCCACTGCTCTTTGTGGAATAGGGCAAAAGACCCACGCTCCTCCTGTGTCGAGATCGAGAACAAGATCAGACCAAGAAATGCGGTCGAAGAGAAGTTTCGCGTGCTGGTATTACAGGCCAATCATGCGATGCCGCGGAGACGTGCCCTGCGTCACCACTACAAAACGCCTTGCCCGAGCTTTATTTCTTTTCATGTGGGGTAACCCAACAGCGACTTCATAGGTTTTCGTGCAAGATTCTTGACGAAGCACCTGTTCTTTGGTCAAAATCTTTAGTTACTGTTTTGTTCTCGAGTCTGAACTTCTTACCTCCCGAATTCTTTTTTAAGGTGTGGCTCGTTTTGTCGGGCAGAAAGTGAACCTGATGCTAGAGAGCGGGCGATTGAGCGTAGATCCTTGTGCTGTAACATACCAAGGTACTGTATGCAGCTCATGTCACAAATCTCGAAGCAATGTATGGGGCGGATCCGACTATCGTAGAGAATCACGTGTTGTTTGGCTCACTTTCGTTGGTTCTGGGCCTTGATCTAGTTGAGCGCTGGAATTGGGGGGCCCACGCGCCCTTCTCTTGACTCTTCCTGTCTACCAATTGCCACAACACGATCTACGGAAATGCGGCACAGACACGCCAAAGACCATCTTCCTTTTGACGACGCCAAGCAGACCCTCGGGGCTCTTGCCCAATTATCGTCCTATGGATGGTCTTTGTTTACCCAGTAAGCAGCAGCAATACCGTTGCACATGAACTGATAGCGCCTATGTCCAGAGCCAATACCATCACAACAAACCAACAAAAAACTTAGTTGGGCTGATCGTGGTTTCCGGTCCCTGCTGCATCAATCAATCTCGATCGTCAGATGTCTACAAGAAAGGACCGTCATCCCGTTAAAGAACGGTATTCAAACATAAACATGGCATCGTGCCCCTCCGGTCCGCAGAAAGAAACCGTGAACACCGTCGCACTCCCATTTTTTCGTGTCAATTATTGCCAATAGAGAATATTTCGTAGAAGGTCGATAAGTCGGTTGATACAACGCCGAAGGCTAAGAACCCTCTCCATTCTTTGATGATGGAGAAATGAAAAAAAAGGATAGGGACGCGTTGGGTCCTGATACATTCCCGGAAACGCGTCGGGCCTACCTGCCATGCTCGGGGAGGCTTGCCAAAGCATGTCAATAGTCAGCGCCCCCCTCTCCCCCGCCACCGCCCTACCCTGCCGTTGTTTTTCCGCCGCGTTCCGAGACTCGTAAATAGTTCCACGTCTCGTATGTAAATATTATCTGCCACACAACGATACCTCCCCGCTCTACAATATTATCATCCGGTGAGTTGTTTTTTGCAGCGGAGGCATTGTCCTCCCTCCTTCCAACGGAGGGTCGCACCGCCGCTACTCTTGCTCGTGCCACTGCCACCATTTCAGCGCGAATCGCCACCACCACCGCAACCACCACCACCGCTACCACTATTACCGCCACTGCTGTAGCTTTTCCGTTGAGCTAGCACCGGAGGGGTTACGTAGAAGAATCCAGAAGTTAAGGTTTGGACATGGACGTATGCATCACCACCACTAACACTCCGCTCTGCGATTACACGCACTTTCATCTCTGGTTGATGATCCACACCTGCCCCAAAACATGGTGTGTTGCACCGCTAAAGCCTGGCTTTTTGAACGGAACGCCCACAGCAGCAGTATTTCCACTTCGATCGCGCGAAGTTGGTCGACGCAGCAATGATTCCTTCTTCCGCTCGCTCACGGCGAAACCGTGCGTGGCAGACGAGGGAGGCGAGAAAGTTTAGCGGATTCGCAACAAACTATACCAAGCGATACGGGGAATCAAGGAAGCTAGCCGGAAACAAAACGGCGACAGGAATAAAACCACTAAATAATAAACCGGACCAGGAACCGAACAGAAACCCAAGCTGCTCACAGAGCTCACCAAACGCTACTACTATCTTTCCCTATTTAAGCACGTGTACTCAAGATAAAACAGCAGGGGTCCCACCGATCGATACATATATATATATACACGAGTAGTGACAAACTCGTTCTCCGCGAAGCAAAGCCTCTCTCATACACTCACGGAGACCTCTACCAACGGGGGTAGACCGCGCCCCGGGGACCTCACGTTTCTTCAGTTTATCTCTATGGGCTAACTTAACTCACCATGACCGAGGGCTCGGCTCACGATGTACGTACAACGATTCCGTTCCAGCATCTAATCTTGACACGCACCACGGCCGACTGTCAAACCCTGACTCCTCCTCCTTCTCTTGACCGGCCGGGCATGCTCGAAAGCAAGAAATACTGCACAGAATATCGTGCGTGCCCTACGGAAAAGAGATAAAACTGCTGTCTGTTTCGCGCCAACGAGGGGGTGTCAAGCCCGAACCACTTCGTCTGTAGTATCCACCGCATGCCCTCCCCGAATTTTCAAAAACAGAAAAAGAAGGCGGTCTGAATGGCAGGGACGCGCTCTCAAAACAAACACAAACATGCACACCAATGGAAACAACCAACGATGGCAGCAGGCAGCGGGGGTGCGGGCGGGCGCGCCCGCTTTTGCCTTGTTCGCCCCCCCCCCCCTCCTCCCCACCGACCATCCGCCCTCACCACCTCATCACTCAGCACGGACCAAAATCGCTCAGATTTCCGACCAAACGGTTCCACTCTTCCAAGAGAAGATTCTTACCAAAACAGAAAGCACCCCACGGCAGCAAACAAACTCCATGTGTCGGGAGGGGGGAGGGGGGGTATGGATGAACAGTCTTCGTACGTTCCCCGTAGCCAGCGGAGGGAGGAGGAAGGACGCTGAAAAAAAAAATCAGGGATGTAGACTTCACTTTAAGTGCTACAAACGACAACATGCACGTACCAAAAAGCACTATCATTTCTCTACAAGATTTCACACCAAACCGCAACAACGAAACGGCGTCCCAACCGCAGCGTGATCCGCGGGGCAAAGACCAAAAAAAAAACTTGAAAATGGAAGAAAAACAAGGTGGTATACGATGTTCAGCGTTTGACATGGCCAATCACGCAGTGCTATAAAATGTAAACCCAATCACGTGCAGAAATAAAAGGGCCCACTCATTCAACACCCCACTCAGCTAATGTATGGTTTGAGGTACAACAGCCACAGCCTCTTTCTGACCCAGTGATGTATGCATACGTCGACGGAGGAAGGAAGTGAAGTCATCACTGATGTGACACAGCAGCAGATCGTCTATTACAACGCCAATACTGACGCGGACGTCTGCTACCTACTTTTCCTAGGCGCATTCCTACTGGTCAGTGCCGTTAAGTCCGCCGGTCGACAACACAGCAGCAGCAACACCAGCAGCAGTCGATTTTACCAACAAAAAACTGAAATTTACAAAGCCAACGAACAGCCCCATTAAGTCAAAATGGCTGACGCGTGTATGTACGCATGCAATTTTCCAGAGGAAGAGGAGGTCTTTCGTCGAACATCCACGACCCCCAAAAAATAAAACTGAATAAGTTAGAGAAAACGAGCCAGAAGTAAAAAAATACTCGAAAAACAATCAAAGCAAGGGTTAAGGAAAACCTGGCTCTCCAACACGTGAATCTGTACCGGACATCACCCCGGACGACGCCTCTGAGCGCTGTACGGACACTACCCAACAGTCAGTCTCTCGCGCAAACGCTCCATGCACACCCACCCTCCGATGGCAGCCTCGCCGCAACGACAATAACAACAGGAAAGAGCGCTCCCACGCCGGATGGCAGTGGTAGTGCTTGGGGAGGGGGGCTGCCTTGTCTGGTGGGATTTCCCGAAGACAAAGACAGACCTCGCTCTTGGTGGACGCAAGGGGGGGGCGCAGGCTGATCCAGCAAAGAACAGGAACGCCTCCCCTCCGCTCCACACTTACGTGTGGATGGGCGCGCGTGAGCGTCGGGCGTAAAATCCGTCGTAGTTTAGTTTAAGTAAGCACAACGCACCTCGCGTGCACACGCCTCTCGCAAGCCGCGCATTGCTTTGCTGCTCTCCGAGCGGGGAGGAGATAGAGAGCGAGTTGTTGGTTTTTTTCCGTAGAGGCGTTGAACGTGCAGCACACGCGCACCGCAGGCTGCGCTTTCTTTTCCTGGCGTCCAACGCCATCTGCCTTGGTCCCTGAGACCATTCCCTTCATAAGTCGCCCTCGTACCCGGCACTGGGAGCACTAATAATGTCTTGCTCGATCTGGCTAGGATTCACCTGATGCAAGAAAAAAAACAGGAAGGCGCGGGGAAAGGGTGCCAAATGATGTCTCGTTCCCGGTTGAACCCGCCATTCGGGTTTTCTTTCCAAAGTTGGAGGCGTTCTAGAGAATACCGTGGTACACACCATCAACCTGTTATACTATGCCAGAAGTACTATTGGGACGCAACAAACTCGGGAGGAGAGAAGAGTGGATTGGAACGTGTTTGCGCGGGACCAAAGTAGTGGTTTTCTTGGATGACGTCGAAGTAGAGCGTGTGTGAAGTGGAACAAGAGGTCATCAGTGGCATGTGCGCACAATTCGCAAGACTCAGCATGTTGACAACGTTAGGAAAGTGTGCTAGCTTGTAGGTTTCCCTCAAGAACACAGTCTTAATTTCAGGTCTTCCGGTCGGGGTACCACATTAGTCAGGCCTTCGGGGCAGCCTGGCTCGAGGACCGAACGACAAGCTTGAGCGGACAACATGTAAGACGAACAACAATAGTTGCACGCGGTGGCCTGCCTACACAGCGGCGGCTGCGGTGGTTGACGTCGCCGAAACGAACGTCCAAGAGTATGTGTATGCAGCCAATCATCCTTGGCCAACAGGCCCGCTTCTGAGACCAAACCATCGCCTTCCCTACACTCGTCGCCACAGTGTATGCGACTCAAAGCAACAATAGTACGATTCTGCCAACGCCGGGGGGTAAAGACAAATAAGACGGCGGCGGCAACCCAAGTGCGAACACTAGAATTGCGCGGAGTGTATGTAACGTGTGTCGGCCGAGACTGTTGACTTGTCATGGGTTGATCAATGACGGCTGTGGACGCGCACAACGACACACAAGCTTCCTTGTGCACCACATGTACACACCAGCACACAGTCACGGCGCCCCCCTGCAGGGGGAGCCCGATCACTTGAAAGCGTGTTCGCGATGTTTTATCTCGCATTGACGCCATTCTTCATGGACCAGCCGGTTGGCGCGGTCGACGCTTATTACAGAAACGAAACACACAGACCGCGCTGAACCCGACGTTTTCATTGGTCAACCGGTTGACGCGGTCGATGCAAAGAAGCACCCACACGCACCCATGCTATGTAGCGTTTTTCTGTTCAATCTTTAGCCGATACAAGAAAACCAAAACACACCGTCACACACGCACCTCGTGGGAGTATCTTGTCACGTGGTTGCCCCCCACGACAAGGAACTTCGTGAAGTTCCATTCAATGTTCCCCGGCACCCCCGAGGCTGCCTTGAGCCATGCGAACAGAGGGTGCGACCGAAGCCCGTTCACTTCCACCTGGCATCAACAACGGGGCGGGCACGATACACACATCATTACGTGTTGTTGTTGTAGGTGTTGTTATTTGTTGTCTTCACGATCAACATCGAGCACCATTCCGGTCTCTACTCAGCATGTACCTCCAAACATCCATACCTGTGTAACCGACTAGGACGTTCCGTGGTCACAGGCCAACTGCCCGTACACGGCATACTTCTAAATACGAAACGAAGAAACACGAAACGTTCCCGAAAATCGTCACGAACGCGACAAAAAGAAGAGGAACAAATCGAAGAGATACGGAAGTGTTTCATGTCCATTTTTGGGAGCGTCCTCGCCCTTTTGGCTGTCTGGCCCTGCCGTAGGCCTTCCTTCACGCGAGCATGTAAAAGGAAAAATGGCAACATTCGAGTCCGCCGGAGGCAAGAGACGGGTACTGCCCGACCTATTTCGTTGTGGTTTTTGTGTTGCAACCCTGCTCTCCTCGGACCGCCTGTTTTCCTTTTTTTGTATCCCATCCCGTCCCATCCCGTCTAGTCCCATGGCATCCCATCCCGTCCCCTCCCGTCCCGTCCCGCCCCGTCCTGGTTCAGCCCATCCCATCCGATCCCATCGCATCCCATCCCGCCCCGTCCCGTCCCCCTCCTGTTCCATCCGATTAGATGTAATAACTTACCTTGCCCATGATCGGAAACGTGACGCCGAATCTTCTCTCCGCGGAACTAGATATCTCTTGCCAGCTGCCCGGCTCTACTCCTCCAAATTGGTTGCATGGGAAGGCTACGATAGCGAGTTCATCCTAACGAGAGGGAGAGCACGGGGGAGAGAGGCACAAGGGAGTGGGTGGGGGATGTGAAGGGCTATATGGTGGTTTGTCTCGTCCAAGTCTGTAGGCGATTGGACCGCGCGCTTTTTCTAGAATGGCCACACTTCATGTTGGTGTGCCACCATACACTCGCTCCTGTGGCGGACCCCAAATTTCGTTTTTGTTTCAAGAGCGTTTCAATGTTGGTTGAGGAGGAGGCAGGCTTCATAGAGTGTCAAAATACACTTTCGCAGTGTGCAGGACGAGAAGCGTCGCTTTTCGCACAAGCAGCCCGTCCATAAAGGGGTTCAGATCGGTTCCGGAGGGGGCAGGCTGTCCTAGTGCGCCACAGTACACTCTGATGTAAACAAAGGACTTGACCGCAATGATGTCGCTTTATTTTGTTGTTGTGTTCTTCGTTTCGGAGAATGCGCCAATGCGTGCTGTCGAAAGACTGGTCATAACCCTAGCTTATCTTGGGCATGATCGCGACGACCACAAGGCATGGCTGGGATGAAAAAATACGTGAGTAGCAGCATGGCCAGTGCAGCAACCCTTCTACCGGCATTGAGCCCCGCACAATAGCTTTCCGACGTTTTTACCACACTAATTTGCCGTTTACAAACAAAAAATTGAACACTCGAAAACCTAGGATTGTGGACCTCGTCGTATGCTTCTCGTAGTGCCTGCAGCTCTAGGTAGTTCCTTTCCGCCGTGCTGCACTGGCTGGCGACGTTTACTATCAGCACCGCCTGTCAAAGTACAAAAAGGAGGAGGGAAGGGGGGGGTACATCGGGGGCGGGGGGGGGGTCGGGGCAACTGCATGGCGTCAATCGTTTGAAAGTTGAGTACTGATTACTGTCACACGGTCGCTTTTCATGTAAATTGAGGACTGAGTACTGTCACACGGTCGCTTTTCGCCACGATGATACAAGCGGAAAACCGATTGTCATCCGCGATGAAGGCAGAATACCATTCGGGACGGGATGAAGGCACGCGGGACGGACGTTTAGCACGGGTTGGGGTGACCCGAGCTGCGAGGTCCGTGCAGGCAACGAAAGAAACAAGAACGACGCGGCTCAGTTGAAATTGGATGCGGAACGAAGTGATCCGGGCGGGGTCCGCAAGATCAATACTATCGCAAGGCTGAAAGAACGACGCACACACACACAAACGTGAAAATCATGAGGCATTCACGTGTGTGCACTAGCGCCGGCCTTTGTGGTACACCTGCAATTTCTGCAAGAGCAGTTGCTGCCTACAGGGAAACTGACTTTGATCCACCCGAGGAAAAACAGAAACCTACCTAAACTCTTGCACTACTTTTCCAACGAGCAACCGTTTGCCGTCTCCTCCTCCTTTTCCTTCGCCTTCGACATCGTCAACGCTACATTGATGTACTGAAGTATGAATAGATGTACTGTAGTATGAACATCTTCAAACTACCGCGACAGGTCTACAGCATTAGTGGCAGGACCAACCTACGACAGCAACGCACGCTATATGAACGCGCGAGCTTTTCAGAACGATCGCACTTTAGGACGACGCCACAAACAACGACAATAGGACGACGTCGTCAGCATGCTGTTGATCTCTCTCTCTCTCTCTCTCTCTCTCTCTTCATGTGCTTGCGGGGTGTGGTGTATCAGGTCATGATGACGACATACGGGAGTAGAACAGACCAGACAGAAACGTGTCCCCTGAGCTAGCCCTTACAATGGTGGGGGGGGGGCTATTATCGTAAAAAAAAACTCAGAATTCTGTGTGGAGACCAGGGGTAGCGTTTCCTACAGTTACGCTGAAAAGACGCCCAAACATACTGAGAAGTAGATGAGGGAGGATGATTCTCCATTTCCCACGCTCCGCAACTTTCCGAAATATTTCCCCACGAGCACAATTTATTAGTCTCGTTAAAAAGTGTTGTTGGATCTTTAGACCACCCGATGTTGGTTTGCTCTTTTTGGCGTGCGTGTTGCTTTGTTCTGCTTGTTTCGATTTGGGTGCTTTCGACAACCTGGTCGTTCTCTCTCCTCCTCGGCGTGTTTGCTCCTCACCGCCGTCTCCAGCGATTGGTTGGCTCTCCCTAGGGGTATATTTCCGCCGAAAGAAATGGCAAGACACATAATAGGAGAGAGAGAGAGATAGGCGGAGAGAGAGAGAGAGAAAGAGGCAGCAGGGGTGGGCCGGCGCTCGGCAGAACGCGTTGAGCGGGTGTCCCCCCTAGACGTGGCAGCAGCGGCGGCGTAAGTGTTTGCAGCAAGTCGCAAGGCCTCTCTTGCTGCTGGCCATTGTATTGTTTGGCAATACCTATCTTTTTTCTCTTTCTTTCCCGCTCTCGCGCCTTCCTCTCATGCCTATCCACGAGAGTCGTTTATCTCGTCTGCCGCCCTCGACAACATGGGTCCTTCCGTAGGCGTCGTGGAACAAGGGTCCCAAACGATCGAGGGAGCTTTCCTAGCCGCTAGAGTACAGCAGTGGTACTCCCGGCAGCCAGGTTTTTTAATGGTTGATGTGTGGGCAACAAATGTCGTGAAAGAGAGAAAAAGTGGGCAGAGTAGAGCAGAGCGGAAAGCTACCACAAGCGGTCGGCCACACAGAGCTCATGGCAGCAAGTGGCCTGAATAATCGAAATATCCGTGTATTTCATCCATCAGATCCGTGCCCGCCATCCGGAAAATCCGTGCCAGCCATCAGTGGTCTCCCGATCTTCCGACAGGCCTCGGAGCGCTTGGAGCGACCGGTCCTTCCTACACCTCGAATCTTTGAATGTGTCCTACCGCAAAATAGCGGATGTACGTGCAACGCATGGGTCCACATGGATCCTACGCTTCCAATCATACTGAATTGCCGTCTGCCATCCACACAGCAGTCTCCTCAACTATTCGGCTTGTCGAAACAAAGACGTGCTTGTAAGTCCGGGGGGTACAGCGCCAAAATAGGCTATGACCGGTCGCCCCGATGATCTAGTGGTATCCTCGTGGTGCGCTAGTTGCAAAGGTCGTGAGTTCGAATCCCCATGGGATGAAAAATTTACAAAACTTGCAGGTGAAAGAGAACTATAGCTGACAAGCTCTCGTGGGTACCAAACTTCGACGTTGGCACCGTTGACGAGGGAACGGGACGTCTGGACCCTTCTCGCGATATAGATATAATTCAGCACGCACCGCAGGAGGAAAGAAAGGTGGGGCATGAAAAGAAATAAAATGAAGAAAAAGCCCTGGTGTTTACTCCCTCCTGTGTGACCCTGGATGGTTGCACTGAAATGTGTAGTTCTCTACATAATAATAAGGACGAAAATACAAAACACACATGAGGGACAACGACTGGCCGGTGCAACTGAATGCCCTCTTTTCGTCCGCATCTGAATCTGGGGTAGCTAGCTCCCATAAATCCACGATACGTACATGCATGCAAGTACGCCTATCATGCCTCCCTGCTGGTTCTCGAACTTTAAAGGTTGTTCCCTGTATCAACAACGAAACATGATGTTGAGTACGTTTTACACGTGCCTCAAAGCCCCCATTCCATGCTCCCGGCTGGTCATAAGACCAGACCGCCTACAATGGGGGCGGGATGAGGACGGTACCTAGAAGCAGCCACCGCCGTACCGTTTCCTCTCTCAACCCATGGGACACGGATTCCACCGCGGTCGGCAGCGCAATCAATGACGCTTGGTGAACGGACACCTGGAGCACACCCCCGCACTCTGCGGTCTGGCACTCGCATGACAAGGTACCCTTGGTTGTTATCGTTGTTGTTGTGGTTGCTGTTGGCTTGTTTTGTTCTTGCTATCGATGACGGAGCATATTGGCATCCCCAACAAAGGGACACGTGCTTTTGAGCGCCTGCTTCTTGCCAACGGGGACTTTCGTTTTGAACCCTGTTCACGCCAAGGAACCATAGAAGACGGTCACGGCCAGAGAAGAAGCAGCAGACCCGACCGTGTGTTGTGTACGAAAGGGCGGGGGGGGAGGCGGGCACTAGCTCCCCTCGCACTTGGATCTACAGCAAGCATTGTAGGGCGTTATCGATTGTAAACAGAGTAGAGGAGGCAAGAGACTTGGAGCAAGTCGCTCCGCTTCTTCCACGGCCGTCAACCATAGATATTTTCACTGATCACGGGTCATCTTCCAACCCCCCTCCCCCCCCAGCCTAATGGTTGGTGGTGGAGATAACGAGCGATCGGAAGACCACTCGATGTTTCTCCGTTGTTCCATGGGGGCCCCGGCTTTGTACCAGCGGCGAGTGTCGACGACGTGAAGGCAGATCGTCTTATCGTCGGGAGCAAGCGATCGGAACAAGTCAACCTATATGTAATACCGCACCAATTTAGCCCTTGGGGACGAGTGGGTGTGAATCAGCCCTCACCGCACGGGCTCCTCCAAACACATCACTATCACCTTCTGAGATTTGTCTCGGACGTACCAATAAAAATGATTAGTCCCTGATGATATGTACCGGTATAAGAACGCAAATTCTATTTAGTTAGGCCTTTCCCCATTTTGCGGGCATTTCTTTTGGCATGGTTGGCCTACCGGAAAAAAAGCGGAGGCATATTCCGGAAAGAGAACATGCTGGAGCATATCGTAGCAGAAATGAGCAAATGTTGTCCACAGTTCGAGCATATTCGTTCGTTGAACCATTGGACGCTTCAGGCCACAAAATATGGTCGATAAGATATAATTTCAAGCTCGTCGCTAGCTCTCCACAGGGTTTTGACTCAATCGCTGATCGCTAATATTTGGAGCTGCTTTGACTAACCCCAACCCTAACCCTCCCTGGGCGATTTGAAGAAAAGAAACGCGCGCGCACTATACCAAACCCTAATAACCTCATCATATTCATATCCAAAGAGCATAAGGGGGAAAGCCCATAGTGCAAAAAGTGACATTGAAGCATATTCTACCCAGAAAAGGGGCATACGTATTGGGCAGGAGCAAAAAAAGCATTTGCGCTCATGGAACGAAAGTGGGCATAAAAAGAAACGCACAATGGGGAAAGGCCTAATATTTTCTAAGAAAAGGGGGGCATGTTCTCGGTCAACAAGGGGAGGGGGGAGGGGAGGGGTGACGTGGATATGTATGGGTTTACTCCCCACCCCCCCAGATGCCGCCGACGGGGGGGGGGGGTACTCATAGTCGTGCATGCCGTAGTAGTTGGACCATTGACCTCGCATCCCTGCAAAGCCGGGGCGGAGCGCGCCGGGTTCTCACCGGACCAGGCTCTCACGTCACCAAGCGCGAAGCACCGTCAAGTATTCGGCGATTCACATGAACGGTGCGCTGCATCCTGCTAAGGGTGTTCGGCATCTTGTGCTTACTTCCTTGCGTACGGATGATGACAGCTGCATATGACTTAATTCACCTTCTGGTGCTTTCATTTCCAGAGACAATTACAAGCTAAGCGCTGTGTATCTGCTTCGAGGGTGCTTGACCATTTTAACACAACGTGGTGCGATCATCCCCTTTGCGCGGAGTGAGGGTTTTCGACCCCGCACAACATAATCTACTCGACTACCACCATTTTTGGACACCCAAAAAATAAACACAGACGCAAAAAGAACGCAGTAACCTGGTTGCCGAGCTCACGAAGTGAATCGGCTTGTTTTACAACGAGGGGGTGGTTTCTCAATGGCACCCTCGCGAGTCGCAGTGATGTTGGGAAGGCAAACGCGCCCGAATACTTTTGTTACGCACGGAGTATTGAATGTGTGGGGGGACAACAAATAAATATATTCTGGGAGCGAGGGGTGGGGGCAGATAGCTGTCGATGCGCGGGGTTTCCAGCAGCCAATGTAATGAATGAATGTAGTCGAAGAGAGGTGTGGGGGGAGGTTTAGTCTTGACGGGTATTACGTCAAACCAGCTCTGACAAGAAGAAAGCCGGTTTGGTTTGATTTTTGTTCTTGTTGTCGACCGCGGAACGACGCAAAAAAACTGTTCAATCAAGAGAACGAGGCTCAGATTCTCGCGGAAAATAAAAACGAGAAACGAATACATCAGCTAGGTGAGTGGTGCTGCAACCTGCACCAGAATCTCGTCCGCACCCACCTCAATCTGACGTTTTGTCAACCTACCTGCGACCGCCAACCTAATTTTAGACTGAAATATTTGTCCTGGGTTCCTGCGACTAGTCTAGGACTTTATTATTGCTCTCTCAAGCATCGTAAAGTAAGCGCTTAAGAAGGATGGAAGATAGACAGATGATGTAGTAAATGGGTGGATCTGGATGCTTCAAGAGTTGTATCGTCGTCTGTAACCGCGGCAACAGTTTCGCCATTCGGAGCATGCCATGCAACGAACGGTAGGGAGGGGCGGGAGACTAAAATACACAGCACTACCTGGAAGCACCCGCTGGCTGACTGTGACGTTGAGTAGTAGGTCGGTGGCATGCACACCTGATCAGCACCACTCCAGGCAGGCTGCGAGGAAACCAATGAGGCCACCGTGCCAAACGGAGACTGTGCTTCGCGGGCTTTATTATGCGCATGGAGCACAGCCGCCTCCCCAAGCGCATGCTGTTAGGAGCGATGGCGGGGGGCGTGGGATACCGGGGCGGGCTGGAGAGCGACTGGGTGTCTCGTCTAGGAGAGGACCTCGTGGCCTTCAACATGGGAGACGAAAAGGAAGGGGGGTAAATGGAAAGGGAGCGCCAAGGACCCGGAGGTGTGGTACAACAAGGTCGAGGACGGGGCGGCACGGTTCATGAGGAAGTGGCACAGACAGGAGGCGGAAGCGTCCGCGAAGAGCAGCGCGCGAGGGAAGCAGAAGCAGAGAGCACGGCCATCTCAGGACCGAAGAGAAAGAGAGCCGGGGAAGCGGCGGTGGGGGGGAAGAAACGGCGACCGGGCACTGCTGTAGAAGCGAGTAGGACGGCCGAGGCAGCACTTGTGGCGAACTATATAGTCTATACATATTTCTTTTTGTTTGTCCTTTGTATTGCCTTGGCCGCTGTGCTGTGTTTCTTTTTTTCATTACCTCCCTGCCTACTCTGCTGTGTTGGGTACCTTGATCTCGCTTTGCTGTTGCCTTTGTTTTTGTACGAATGGCTGTCTGCCCATCTGCCGCCTCTTTGTCCTGTTTTCTCCGTTACTCCCATGCCCTGGTGCGTAGTGCCTGGTGCTGGTACGTTACCCTTTCATTTTTTCTTTGAGCGGGTGCGGGAAGCGTCCTCCTTTTTTTGTTTTTGTTTTGTTTTGATCGGTTTCCGAGGGCTCTTTTTCTCGAACGGTCGGTGCGATACCTCTTTGTATCATTTTGTTCCCCTTTCCGAGTTGTTTGTACCCTATTTTTGTTTTGTTTCCCCGCGGCGTCGTNTGAGCGGGTGCGGGAAGCGTCCTCCTTTTTTTGTTTTTGTTTTGTTTTGATCGGTTTCCGAGGGCTCTTTTTCTCGAACGGTCGGTGCGATACCTCTTTGTATCATTTTGTTCCCCTTTCCGAGTTGTTTGTACCCTATTTTTGTTTTGTTTCCCCGCGGCGTCGTATGTGCCGGGTTTTGAGACCACGGGCTCCCCATTCGTTCGTGGACTATAGAGCTAATGTGAGAAACAACAACAACAACAACAACAACTCCTTCTGGAACATCAATTAATTAAGGAAAAACAAATACACAGGAAGAGTACCAATTCGAGAGATATAAACCCACAGTCGAACGGGATGTGGTAGTCTTTTCAGTGAATGGAGGAAAAAAACCGGCTGGGTACTGGACTCAGTTCAAGTCTTTTTAAGATACAATACCCTGATGATTTATATCAGTGATGCCAGCTGGTCTTAAGTGCAAAAACATCTACCAGGTATTAAGGTAACCCACTTTGTACGATACATACCCTGTAGTTCTCTGCTGGGTCAGGTCAGCGACAAAATATCGGGGAGAACCTCTCCCGAGTGTCGTGTGCTACACGTGGTAGACTCCGCTCAACTCCATGCATGCGCGTGTTTCAAATCCGGCCGGTAATAACAGAGGAAATCAGAATCGGCCTTCTTCCATTTACGAGAGGGATCGTCATCGACACAAACAACGACCAAGCATCGTGGTGCACGCTCTCTGTGGTGCACCGCCGACGATCTATCACGTAATCCATGTTATCTTTTTCAGCAAGAAGTTGGTGGTCGAATGTTCCGCTTTTCAGAATTTCAACCACTCTAGGAAGGGGCAAAAATTCCCGACATGACAATGCAGTCAGATACCACAAGACGGCTACCAAACTATTTGTCTCATTGAGCCTGCTACACACCGGGGACGTATCAATGCGTGCTGTTCAGAAAACCGTAGAGATGCAGGTAGTTTCCGCTGACGCTATGAAATCATTGCAAATCTACTCTTTTCTAGATAGAAAGATGGATTTGTTCTGTGTCATAGCATGCAAAAAAACAAGAAAAATAAAAGCGAAAAAACAAACAGGATACGGTGTTATGCTACATACAGCAACATGTATGTATCGCTCTGGGAGTGCTGCCTGCTGGATTATCCTTCTGAGCCGGGACAAGTGAAGGAGACAGGGCACCGCGCGTGCAAGTGAAAACTCGACGTGTGATGGCGAAACATAACGTGTGTGGAGTGTGTGTGTTTCTCGTCGACAGCACAGCGCGACGAAACTTCGACACACGGCCAGAATCGCCGTCCGTTTCCGTTCCTCTTAGTACACCAGTCAACCGTCAGTCAACAACTACACACATAAAAACACATACCAGCACGGAGGACAGGGCAGCAGCAGCAGCACTGCCTATACCCGTTAGCTCCAAGCCGCGTAGCTGCCGCTGTGTACGAACGTGGTTGGCACGCCGGGCAACACAACCAGGGAGGCTCGGCGCGGCACCACCGTCGTGTTCACTGCTCCACTGTTGCAGGGGGCGGCCTACGTATGCATACTACGCGAAACAACGACCACAACAGCAGCAGCATCCGCCACGTCTTTGAAGATCTCCACAATCCCATCCCGACACATACATGGACACGCTGGGCGGCTCTCTATTCCCTCTCACCCGACATTGGTTGAACTGCTCGAACAGAAACGGGTTGCCTTCGCCGTCAAGCACGTTGAAGTCGCTGAGGCCCAGCCCCCGGCTGTACATCGCGCGTGTGATGCGTCGGAGTCGTGAGCGGACACGGGGCGCGGTGATTGTTTTGGCGTGTGTGTGTGACGCTTGCGGCGACCCGAGAAAAGACGTCGGAACTTTGCAAATTGGAACTCTGGCTGTTGCATCTTTGCGGAACTTTTTGAGAAATTGAGAAAAAAGGGTGACATCGGAATATTATTATTCTGTGAGGGTTTCGGTATTCTAGGAGCATACATCGGCTGAGCCGCCGCGACCCGCAGGGAGAGCGGGGTCTAGCGCCGCCGAAAGTCTAGACCATCACCGTATTATACTATGCATACAATCGACAACCGATCTATTTTCCATTTTCCCTATTCGTTGGGAATGTCAATTCTCCCCCTGGTTCGCAAAATATAATTTTACCGCCCCGCACCTGCAAGGTTTCTTGTAACCTGGTCTAGACTATGCATCTATTATCATCACGACCACCAGGATAATAATATAGGAGGCTCTGTGCCATGAACTCGACGATGTTTTTTGTGTTTGTTTTTCTCCCATCATCGGACTCTGTCGTCTGCCCTTCTGGCCCCTACCCTCCACTTCTACCAGCTGGATGACCCAACCGGGGTCACATAAAAGGGGGAGGTTGGACTCCCTCCTGCGGTTCCTGCCTGACTGAGATATTTTTATCGCGAGAAGGGTAGACTACAGCAATCAATCCCTTCCCTCGAGGCTTATGAAGTCGATCAAGTTTACTAACAACGAGCTTTGCAGCGTCGCTTCGTCCCTTCCAACGGAGACTAACCAGGATATTAAACTAGCGAGAAAAAACTCACTCTGTCAGGACTCGAACCCATGACCTGGCCCTTAGTAGGCTACGAGGCTACCCACTAGACCACCGGGGCGTAGACTATACCTTGTCGGTTCGTCCGCAGAGGGATTCTGGCAGCAGCAGCAGCAAGCAGCAGCAGCAGCAGCAGCAGTTGTTTTCTTGGTTACGGTCTCTTCCTTTTTTTTGGCGTTCTTTGTTCTTTCTGCCCCGCCCCCCCTGCACAAAGGGTGCGGGCATCACGTGCGTCCAACAACACTGAACGCGTGCTGGAATATTTGTAGGTACTTTACAGAGCAGTTGCTAAATTCGGAAAAACACGCTGCAGACCTGGTGCATTATACCTGGTGTCCAAAAGTCCGCCGAACAAAAGTGGATACTTCCAGCCAAAATATTACAACCATCGTACTTCCAACAATAATTCGGTGGGTATGTAAGTGGTGCACCAGCAGTTTCAGCTACCATGTACAGGACATGCGAAGGTACTGGGTATAGAGAGATCGGAACGGTTTTTAATGTAATGTTAGATATACTCGTAGCATAGTAATGTGGTTGAATATGGGACATGGATCTACGGAGATTGCAGTTGGTGGATCGCGGAGGAACAGGGAGTTTCTGCTTGGTTTCTTCGGAGATTCGATGAGTGATCTGAATTGCGTGACGGATAGGTGTGGTGACGCTCTCTTCGGCTGCTCGGCCTCGAGTGGTCTCTGCCCTTCCCTCTTCCCTCTAATACAAGANTCACAACCTTCGGCCTACCCGGTTTATCCAACACGCTAGCGTTAACGACTTTGTCGAGGGTGATTGGGTAGCGCCGATGGGCAGCCGCATGCGCGGCTGACGACACCCAACCAGACGAAGAGGCCACCAACGGCGAGGGCCTGCACAGCAGCAGCAACCCCAAGACCTACAGCAGCGCCATCGTCAGCTGCAGCCCGCCGTTTACTTGGGTAGTAGGCCCGCTCAGGCACGTGATGACTTTTCAGTTTCCTACTGGACTGTTGTTGGTATCAACACACCCATTGCGGTGATGCGGTATAATACTCATAGTGCCGCCGATTCTAAACGCGGCAATACGCCGTGCGGTACTGCCGTCAAACGCCAACGCTAACGCAACCTCCAACTCCACCTCATTCTCCACCGCCACCTCTCGGCCAAGAAGGTCGACTACCTATTACCGGTAGACTCAATCAAAATCGCGACATCGTCGCGCGGTACCGCCGTCAAACGCTCGGCCAAAGAAGGCCGACTACCTGTAGCATAACGGGTAGACACAATTAATGCAGGTTACCAGTAATCCTCAAAAACTGATGCCAGTTTCTAAACTGATGATATGATGTGTGCGTGTAGCATGGAATTAGAAATAGTATTGTGCGTAATGAAATGCAGTGATCGGCGAGGTTTTTGCTTTGTCATCCTGACAGCCGTGCTGAGACCAACTTTCTCTCCCCGGCAATAGCGTGATCAACGTTTTATCTGGGCTCTCTTTGGTAGCTACTTTTTGAGCAGCAGGTTTAGCCTGATCAAAAATGCGTGATCAACGTTTTATCTGGACTCTTTTTGGGTAGCAGGTTTAACCTGATCAAAAACTTTTCATGTCTTGGTTGTGTCAGCGAGTGCCGGAGACGTGTCAAGTCTCAACGAAGTGCAACATTGGTACCTCCACCTTGTTGCAGATTAAAAATTCACAATATTGACGAAATAAATGCTGATTTCCTAATATTGTTGTACGTTGTCTTGAGATTGCTATTTGTTGTGAGATTGCGGTTCCAAAAGTTGTTAAGGTTTTGACTTAGGATTGATTACCCTATGGTTAGAACAGTAGCAGCAGCTTGATTACTATTTTGCAACAGAGGACTAATCAACCTCCGTTTCAGGATGATATTCAGCTATTTATGGTGTGGCGATATCGCATCGGCAATGAATTTCAGACAAACCATTCCACAAGTAGGGTCCGACGACTTGAACGTGTGTTTCATTTATTGTTTTTTCTGCTGCATGCAGTCACTACTTTGCAGAACCGGGGGGAATGTTTGTATGTTTGTGATTCTCCTCAGTAGTGCTGGTTTGTTCGGAACTAATCTGCCGCCATCATCCCCTCCGAACGCGCGACCTGCCCTGCACCACTGCCGAGTCAATCCTCTCGGAGCGACAATTGTTCTTCCCCCAAGTCAGGCGGACGCAAACATCGAAGCTCGAGCCGCGGCCAGCCGGAAAAGATGGCGGAAGGCGACCGCGGCGGAGGCGTGCGAATTGTCCGCGGGGGGGAAAACAATGGCTTGGGCAATGGGTTATTAAGCGCTGGAGCTTGATGATGCGCCGGCAAATGTAGGGGTTTCGAGTATTGTTTTGTTTTGGTATTAGATTGGATTTTGTGTTGATGTTGTCTTTGTTTTGGTATTGGATTTTGGTTTTGGTTTTTGATTTGGTCTGGACTTTCGGACTGGAACTGTTTGGTAATGGATTTTGATTTGGTTTTGGTATTAGCTTTTCGGATTTGCATAAATATTGTTTTTTCTTGAGCTTTCGACTGGATGGACTTTGAATGTGTTATTTTGGTCTGTGTTTCTGACTCCAACCCCTTCTCAAATCAGGGGGGCAGATCCCCCCGAGAAGAGGGGCACACTATCCTTTCAGGAGGAGGAACGGAAAGCTGATGTTTGGTTTCTGGAGTGTTACAATCAAGAAATATTCGCGTTTCACCTGCGGAAGTTGTCTTGACGTTGACCGAATGTTTTGGGGATATTGTTTGATCGGAATTGTGAGAGTAGCATTCGTTCCTGGTCGCGTTTTATCTGCGAACTGGGTACATTCTGTGTGTTCGGAAGCATCAAACATGCATATTTTATCCCTTGCGAAATTCATGTTGTCTTGGTATTCATGTAGGATTTGGGGATGACTGTATGCATCTGCAGTATTTCGAAGGCGATTATCCAGGATTGATCATTGTTTTGGAAAAGAATGATGGAAGAGTTCTTCCATAATTATGTTAACATGAATGGGTTGTTTAATGCCTTTGAGACGTAAGGGATGAAATGTATGGCGAATACAAATGCGACGAGATGCAGAGAGAGCAGATGGACCAATAGCAAAGCGTTTTCTGAGTTGAAGGATGTAGTGTGCTAAGAGACGTTTTTGGTTCAGGAATATTTGCATAATCGAGTTTTTGGTTCATTGTTTGTCACGGACGAATAGGAACGACGTTTTGGTTCGTAAGTGGATTTATGTTGCCTTGCCGTATCATTACGATGCATACGAGCAGGGGGGCTGTTAGATATACTCGTAGCATAGTAATGTGGTTGAGTATGGGACATGGATCTACGGAGATTGCAGTTGGTAGATCGCGGAGGAACAGGGAGTTTCTGCTTGGTTTCTTCGGAGATTCGATGAGTGATCTGAATTGCGTGACGGATAGGTGTGGTGACGCACTCTTCGGCTGCTCGGCCTCGAGTGGTGTCTGCCCTTCCCTCTTCCCTCTAATTCAAGACTTTCCCATCTCGGCCCTCACTGGCCGAGCTGCCTTTCTCCACAAACCCACAACCTTCGGCCTACCCGGTTTATCCAACAGCTGGGCTCATTGCAATTTCGTTGAAATGGAACAACCCTTTCTGGTTATGCCTCCTCCTTTCTCTTTTTCTCCTTCCTCTTCTGCTGGATGGCATCTTAAAGCCCAGACTGCCGGTCGGAAAATGGTAGACACCCCTGATTCTTCGTTCTCTCACAGCATCCGCGAACTACCGCGTCCACCGACCACCGCGAATCTTGGGTCTTAGGTGTACGGTATTCGCATCAACTGCATTGCTGCTTCTTCTGCTGCTGACACTGCTTCTGCTGCTGTTCTGGGTGCTACTGCTGCTTGTTATGACAGCCCCGCCGGGGGCGGTCGGTTGAGTCGCTCGAGCCAACCTACAGAGTCCCGACAATCACACCGGTACGCGGTGACGACAGTGATATAACGACAGCAGCAGTGGGGTGGTGGGGATGAACGCTGAGGCAGCAGTGGTGCGGTACTGTGGCACTGTTGGCACTACTGTACAACAACAAAGAGCTACATGCATTCAGCAAAATGGGTTTTCTCGCGAGGTCTAAGTCTACTTCCAGCGGGTGTTTGTCCAAATCCGCGCAAGACAGCGAAGCTACTCCAGACGTACGCACAACAAACGTGGGGGAAACACGGAGCGCTAAACAAGTCAGCCCCTCTGAGACAAAAGGGAGCGACAGAATCAGCAACACAACAAGTACTCCAGGTCATATT